GTGTTCTGGAACAGTGTTGTAAATACAACTTAACCACTGATTTCTTTAGAAACACAGCGTCACACACGGTGGGCTAGAGTGAGCGGAGCCCGGTGGGCTTGCGGCAACCACATGTGACGACCCCGGGCTGGACTCCGCTTCGTCCTAATTTGCAAATAAATTCTTTAAAAATCCTACAATGTGATTTTCTGGATTTTTTTTCTCATTTTGTCTCTCATAGTTGAGGCATACCTATGATGAAAATTACAGGCCTCTCACATCTTTTTAAGTGGGAGAACTTGCACAATTGGTGGCTGACTAAATACTTTTTTCCCCCACTGTATTTCCTCAGTGACCAGCACGGATCAGCTCCAGGCATGATGAAGCGGATATCGTCCTCTTTTGGAAGACCAAACAAAGTAGTTTCGCTTTCACAATGAAACACAGCGTCTTCAGGACATGGCAGTGGCAACAATACTACAGCGAAAAATTTAAAGTTACGCCTTATTTCTTTGCGTGAACATTTGATCGGCATTATGCAAATCTTCCCACATAGTGATGTAGACATGTGGGGGCGTGTTAGAACGAGCCGTTTTAGGTAGGCGTGGTTGACTCTTAACTTTTATAAAGAATATCTCTTTGGATTTGATACTTTAGTCTTTGCAACTTTACAGATCTTCTTTATGCACCAAGAGCTTGTAACACTCCAAAGAGAAAGGAAAAATTGAAATCACATCCTATGACCCCTTTAACTCATATTATAATGATCATATAACTCATATTATAATGAATATCATCATCAGTTTCACAGAGTATCTTCCTCATATTTTCCTCTCTTTATAAAACACTTGAGCTTGTTTGTATTGTTTGTCTATTATTGGCTCCTGGAACCGGCTTACCCAGATATTCAACAAGAAAACAAGTAAACCTTTGATAGAGTCCTTAGACTTTTCAAATGTCCAAAACAAAAATGCTGACTGTACAATTCAATAAATGTATTATTGCTCTAATGTTAACCATTTTGCTAACCAATTTCCCCCTCCCACAGAGATCAATAACGTTTCTGATCAATTCTATTCACCATATCTCAAAACATTTGATATCTCAGAGACCCTCATGATGACCTCTTTAAGATACACAAGGACTTAATACAGTTTAAATGATTTCAGAGATAGTAACAAGAAACTTTTGTCCATTACAGTAGAAATTAATCACTGGCTCTCATGAGTGTATGAACGACACACACACACACACACACACACACACACACACACACAGACTTCTACCTGTAGTCTGGCTGAATGCCATGCCAGTGATGCATGTGTGGGCTTTTCTACATTAAATCATGAAGAGCTCCATCGATTCCTTTCCTGGACTCACAGAACATCATCTCAGAACAATGACGTGTCAATCACGACTCGGGTCACAACCTTTCTTATGTCTGGCATTTTTTTGATTTATTTGCTTTGAAACACAGGAAGTCTCCGATTTTGAACCTTCCTTCTACAGATGATAGCAGCCCTGACCTGTGCAAATACAATCACAGCCTGAAGCAGTAGCCATGTTTCTATTTATAGCAGCACATCACGCTTCTGTGGTGTGCGATTCTTCTTGTTTATTCTCATGGAAAAAAAGAGAGTAAATTAATAATTAATTACATTTATATAGCACTTTTCTAAGCACTCAAAGCGCTTTACATTGTGAGGAGAATCTCCTCATCCACCACCAGTCAAAAGTAGCACCAGTAAATGTCCTCTGCCTGTGTCAAGATTAATTTTTCATGAGCACATTTAAGTGTTGGGGAAGTATAGAGTTTAAAGACAAAGATATCAGTGCAACACTTTACTGAGAAACTGTGAGGGAAACAGTGAGAAAACAGGTTGTTATGCGATTTCTAGGCTATTAACACATTGCATTGATATTTCTAATGTGTTCTAAATGGTTCAGGTCCATTCTTCAGTGTAAGTCTGTGGGATTCTTTCAGCAGTTGTTTATAGGTAGCATGTATGTAGAGCGTTCAAAGTGAGCAGACAAGCACCAGCCTCATTATTTCAGTTCTGCATCTCTGAACCTTTTCTTGCATAACACTTCTGTCTGATCATAAAGCAAATCAAGTACACCAGGCATACAGACTGGAGGCTGCATCTAAGATGCTGACAATTTTCTGCAGAACTTGCACAAGCGCAAAGAATTTACAGAAACTCCTTAGTGACTGACTATGCATATACTGTATAAATATTATGTTTATCAATGTTGAAAACAGTTGTGCTTCTTCATATTTTTTTGGAAACCGTGATGCATTTTGTTTTTCAGAATTCTTCAATGAATAGAAAGTTCAAAATAACAGCATTTATTTGAAATCTTATTGACTCATATGCTTGCTTATTGGTAATGTATCACGGTTTACACAATTATAATATGCAGCACAACTAACTAACTACCGAAAGAAAGAAAGACATTTTTTCCTGAGCAGCAAATCAGCATATTAGAATGATTTCTGAAGGATCATGTGACACTGGATATTTTTAATCAAATCTAGTGCATTCAGTGTTGATCTCCTAAAGGAATAAAAAGTTATTGGATATATTCCCCTCTCAAAAACATGGATTTACCACAGACTTAATGAAACCGCAACATCCCACTCACAAAACCTCTTTCTCTTCATTATAATCCAGTTTGGACTTTGGAGCATAATCTGTCCACACAAACTGTTTTGCGTTATTTTTACACACACACACAGACACACACACACACACACACACACACACACATTGCGTTATACTTACACACACACACACACACACACACACACAGACACACACACACACACACACACACACACACACAAACATGTTGTGTCTCCATGTTTTATGGGGACATTCCATAGGCGTAATGGTTTTTATACTGTACAAACGGCTATTGCCCTACACCAACCCTACCCCTAAACCTACCCCTTACAGGAAACTTTGTGCATTTTTACTTGAAAAAAAAACTCATTCTGTATGATTTATAAGCTTGTTTCCTCACGGGGACCTCAAAAATGTTCCCACAAGGTCAAAATTTACTAGTATTACTATCCTTGTGGGGACATTTGGTCCCCATAACGTGATAAATACCAGGTACACACACACACACAATATACACACACACACACACACACACATATATATATATATAAACACAACATTTCCAGGGGACAAAAACACTTGTATTTCTCTCTTCAAATTGGTCTTGGCTGAACAACATTGGCACATTATGTTGAGTTCCTGCATTGTTAAGTATTACCAGCAGGGGGCTCTAGCAGGTAGATTTAATACACTGAACTGAATAGGTTATGACAGATCCAATCATTTCCTTGCAAAAAGTTAACTGTTCTTCTGTGTTTCCACCTGATTGTGATCCGATGGACATAAACAGCTACGCAGACTCTCTGGTTACTAGCCTTAAACACAATCTAGCATAATTACTTTTGAACATCATTTATTTAATGAAAGTTATAGAAAGACGTTCAAAAGAATGCTTTTTAATACATTTAAGCACGACAAAATATATAGCAGTACTTGAAACCACTAATCAACTGAAACAGAAGCATTTAAAACAATTAGAATGCTTTAAAATGACAATTTCTGAATTCGAATTGCCTTATTATTGACATCGCATGCTTCAAATGGAATGTAAAATGGAATGTTCAAAGGATGATACATCTAATAATGAATAAATATATGCAATATGCAATATAAGTTATGAGACTGATGAGATTTTGATGGACATCAACAGTTACTCAGACTCTCTCGTTGTTAGTCGCTAGCGTTAAACACGATCCATACTGAGCTGAGAAAGATCCATTTCGGTCTCATTTTCCACCAGCACAGAAAAGGGCCTGGAGGAAGAGAGAATCAAATCCGTTACATCTGATTCTCGCGCGCGTTCTGCTCCGAATGAATCAGCGGTGTCGTGTCACATCTGTAGGACGAGCGTGAGAGAGAACGAGCGTTTAGTTGCTGTCAAACTTTCCTGCTCAGACACACACCCACCGGATTTGAGTTACAATGTTCATACTTGTACAGTACAGCAGCGTTATTTGCATTCGCTGAGCAAACAGGAAGGAATGACATGGAACATCAAATCACCGCAGGCCGTTTGGTTCAGCCGTGTAATTGATTTAAGGCGCGTTAAACCTACAGATTTTACGCTCAGATACAATAGAACTGATGCTAATAATACAACCACTCATATTTATTTACATGCTGACGGAATGAAACGGGACGAAGAATACACCCAGAGGCGGACTTAACCATTAGGCGAAGGTAGGGGACCGCCTTGGGCCTCCAAAAGCCAAGGGCCCCCTAAAATG